CCATGCAGCAGAAGGAAGCGAACGGGTATTCTTATTGATTTCTGGGGCGTAGAAAGTAGCCCTACTTATTGCCTCTTGCTTCCTCGCGTTCCGCCATTCGCATATTGCATGCCGTGTTCGGGAGTTACTGCATAGTTTTAGTATTTGCGTGATTCAATAATAATTATATCTCAGATGTTGACGCAGCAAAAAGTGCACGAGAAGATACAGGAAGTGAAAGAGGCAAAAGAACCGACGCATAAGAACAAAAAGAAACATCACAATAAGAAAGAAGATGCAGCACATCAGGCAGCAAAGAATAACGGTAGGTTCTATCCTTTACGTTTGAATTTCGGTAATCAACTTTTGTGATATGTGGTTTCCTACGTCGGTATTTTATTGAGTTTGTGGAAAAATCTTCTTACGACCACTGAAATATTTTTGAAGTTGACGTTATTTGAACCCCCATCTTAAAAAATCTCTAATGTGTGCTTCCCTTCACATAATTCCAATTGCAAGAGGAAATGTGTCACTAATGATTTATAAGAGCTGCCGTCTATCCCGGCACGCAATTTTTGCTGCTAAAATCGATAGCGTCTCCGAGGACATCGCATGAGCCGTTCAATGAGGAGTCTCGTGAAGCGTGCCCTTTTTACGAGCGCTTACTATGCTAGTCTGACATCAGGATTGGATTTGTGGCAGAAGATGTCTTCAAATCCGGATCTTCTTGTTTTTTTCACTTATAAAACGCTTTTTTAACGGACATTTCAATCTCTGACGTTTTCACGCCAAGCATAAGGCACAGCGCTCATGATGTCGCCCTCTCTCGTTATAGGATTTGGATCACAAAATTTTCCAGGCGGTAAAGGTTAAAGTTTTTGCTTTTTTCTATGGTGGGGCCATTCTGAAACTTCTCCTTTTTGAGCTCTGACACTTCCTTCTTCCTAACCATTCAATCTTTTTTTTCGTTTTCAGCTACCTGATTTTCTCATGTACTTCTTTCTGAGCGATTTGGGTGGCTTATTTGATCACTGATATTGTTTTCTTAGAATTTGATTGTTTCGTGGCACTTTTCTAGCCCCGAAAATAATCGAAAACTCACTATTTATCTATTTATTTATATATTTCCATACTTGCAGTGGCAAATCAAACTTTCTTCCATGCAATACTCCTCTTTACGAGAATGTTTAGCTGAGTTGTCCGATGAAGTAGGCATTCAGCGAATTCTTGGGATGAGCGTAACAGATTCGTAAAGCGACAGAGATCGGGAAATGTTGGCAAAACGCCACTACGATGTTTTGACAGTTATGCATTAGAGGCGGCGCGTAGAGCTCTTATATAAAAGATCAGATTGATACAAAGTGTGAGTAAGATAGTGCAAGTTAGAGGGAATGAGCCTTTTATTTCCTTGATCACCTGAAACAGCGCAATTTGCTCGTTATTTGACCTAGGATTCAGCATCACAACAGTAAGCGTATGGTTTGCATTGCTCGAGATCCCCGCCCATTGCTTGGCGTTTGTTATCAACAGTTATCAATTGTTTATTGGCAAAGCTGTTGTGTGATGACCGAGCTCGTGCAAACCTTCTTCGGAATGCTTTTTTGCCTTGTATGCAACAAGCAGTTCGAAAGCAAGATACTTTTTCTCCCTGATAACGGTTGGAATGATGAAATCAATAGGAAATTTTTTTTGAAGGTGCAGGTCCAGCAACAGTGGTTTGGTGTGATCTATTGATAGCTGGTACTATTCATATTGTTGAGTTTTTGCTTCGTGACCA